TGTAAATATGTTGATAACGGTGCTGCTGTCTGTGCTGTTCCTGAGCAGGTGTTTGTGCTCCCAACCTTAGCAGAGGCGGCTTTTCGGATCAGAACAGCCTGGGCACAGAACGAGCTGGGCTGAGGGTCCAGCAAAGCCTGTTCTGCAGTGTGAGATCCTCTGCAGGAACATCCCCACACACACAGGGCCAGCAGCTTGTCCTGGGCATCACAGCTCAGGCTCTTGGTCCTGGTTAGGGTGGTCTAACCAGCGACCAGCACAGAATACAATGTGTGGCCATTGTATTTCACCATCACGTTTGTACCGAGGAAGATAACTACAGGAAAGGAGGGAGCAGCACTCCTCGGTGCTGTGGTGGAGCTGAACTGCTCAGAAAGACTTCAGACCTTGCTGGACAGGAGCAGAGCAGTGACAGGAACAGCCTCCACCCGTGAGCATTTGCATTCCCCAGTGAGAGCAGTGCTGGTGCCACACACTGTGACAGAAGCAGACTTGCACTTTCAGGATCCCTCTGGGTCATGTGAGGGAGCAACCCAGGACCTGCACACATGTCCCAAGCCTGAAGGCTTGGTTAACCCTTCCCAGGCTCAGAACTACACACCAAGTGCTGTCAGACTCATACTTTACAAACCGGCTCCTCACGCTCTCCAGCAAGGACTGAGTTTTTGCCAGACTCTCAGAGGATACTGGAAAGCTGTTTTTAGCATTTGTTAGATTTTTTACTGTCCTATGTAAATGCTCGGAAATTACTCACATGGATTTTAAATATGAATATTTATACTTACTGTAAAATTAGATTTGGTGCTAAGTAGAATGAAATGTCTCTTCCAGAGGTCAGACAGCCTTTAGAACAACCCGACTCTGAAAAGCCAGTTCTCCAAGGCCAGGTGTGAACAGCACTTTAAACCTGTGACTTCAGGCTCCTCCTGTAACGCAGAACCAGCTGTCAGGTGTTCTGTGTCCTTAGCTCTGTACCTGAAACCCCTCCTTGTTCATCCAGCCCGTCCGTGGTGCTGGATCTGTGTTTAATAAATGGGAACAATTGTTATTTCAATAAAATAACCCCCTTGCTGTGGAGTCACTGCTGCCTCTTAGCACAGGGGGGGATGGTGCTGGTGCCACTTCTCTGTTGAGCAGAAACCTCATCTCCTTGATAAATCTGTGAGTTGTTTGGACAGAACCATGGCCTGGCATCTGCAGGGCCCAGAAAGGCCTTTCACCCCACAGGGCTGTTTAGTGCAAGATTTCACTGGGATGAGAGAGTGGAAATAAAAACACAAGTCATTTCTGTGTTATGGCTAAAGCAAGTGGCTGGGGAGATGGAATGCCTGAGTTAAGGTGAGCAGGAGGGGCTGTGCAAGGGGAAATCTCCCTGTCTGAAGCACAGAAACTGCTCACAGAGCCAGCCCCGTTCACTGTGTGTCACACAGGGATGTCACAGGCAGGGGGAACATTGGGCTCTGCTCAGGTAAGCTGGGAGTAACTGGGGACAGGACTTCTTGAAGTGCAAAAGGGAAGAGGCAGGGAAATAAACTTGGATAAGCTGTTGCAGGGCCTGAGATGCCCCCAGAAAACCGTGCACTCAGGAGCTCTGTTACCTTTGGGTCCCTGAAGCTGCCGTGACAGGGAGAAGCCAAACCAGTGGTGTGTAGTTCCAGGAGAAGCAGAAGCTCAGGTGCCCTTTACCAGAGGGTCCCTGATGCAGAGCCAGGGCTGGAAACCTCCTCCAGGAGGGGTGTGGAGGGTGTTGGACACCGGGAGCACGGATACCTCACACCTGAGGGGATTGATCCCAGTCCCACACCGGCCCCTACAAGCCACAATCCCATTACTATCGATGCTTTTCCAGCCCTGCCACACTGCCCCGACCCCGTTCAATACTCACCATCACCATTCCCAAGGGAGGCGTTTTCCCGGGACCGCGAGCAGTAATTCGGCTGTGCACGAGTCGCACCAGCCCAGCCGAGCCGGGGGCTGTGGAGCAGGGGCCGGGCTGTGCCTGGCAGCCCCCCCGACCAGCACAGCCCATGTCCCGGCGGGCGCGGGGAGCTCCCCGGCCAGCGCCGCTGAGCGCCGGCAGGTCGCAGCAGCGCCCGGTGCTCGCACGAAGGGCCCCGAGATGCGCTGCTGGGAACGCACCCAGAGAGAGCCGAAAGCCTTCAAAACAGACGCAGAGGAGCTCGGCCGCCAGCAGGCGAGCACCTGGGCATGGGCAGGAGGAGAGGCCCTTTCACAGCCTCAGTTACACCAAAACCAAAAGGTCTGGAAGCTGGGGCTCGCTCTTCCTTGGATTCCTCAGCTCCATGGACGAGCTCCTGGCTCTGTGTTCAGCCTGAAGTGATCACAGGTTGTGGCAAAGCCTCCCAGGGGAGCTGGGAACGAGAGCCAGGTGGAGCAAGATGAACCCAAAGCAGTCCCAGGCCACTTAACACACCCCTGAACAAATCCATTTTTCAGACCAAAAACCCCTACCCCCCCCAGCTGCCCCCCTGGCCCTCTCAGGTCGTTACCACCACAGGGCTCTCCAGGGGGATGTACCCGAGCCTTGGCTCTGCTCAGTGGGTTGGGACCCCCAGACCCTGCAGGCACACAAAGGGGAGAGGCAGCAGTTTTGCTCCATGACCCCCCGAGCTTGGGGAGGAAACGACCCCCGTGGAGCCCCATAAATCATGAGATTCTGTTCTGCAGCGCTGGGCAAATGAAACGCTGCAGAGATCCAAGGCTGTGTGTGCTTTGGCGTGAGAAGAGCTTTTCCAGCCACGCTGGTGCCAAACACCTTCCAGTCTCCCCTCAGCCTGGAGAACTGGCTCCTCCACCCTTTATCCTTTCCCCGGGGCATCCCTGTGCTATCCCTGCTCCCGGCCCAGAGCCAGGTTTTGTGGCACTGTGTCAGTGCCATCCCACCAGTGCCAGGGCAGCGGCAAGTCAAGGATTTCTGCTGGATGCTGGTTGGGAACGTCTCCTGTGCCAGAGCCAGCCCCGGGCCTTGCGTCAGCCTCTTCCCCAGAAAGCTGCTGGGGAAAGATGCCCCGGTCAGCACTTTTGGAAGAGATTAATATTCAGAGGGAAAAGCAGTGATTTAGCACAGCCCAAGCACAACAAAGGCTGGGATTTACAGCTCCCGGATCCCAGAGCCGCATTCCTGCAGCACTTCAGCCTCTGCTACAAACGTGTAACAAAGGAGACGGAGCTTTATCCGGGCCTAAAGTAACGCGGGCCCCGGCACCAAACCCTGCGTGGAGCGGGACGGGGCGCAGACTGCAACGTCCCCGGGGTGTCCCCAGGGGACATGTCCCACTGCCCGTCCTGGGCAGGGCAGGGCCCACGACAGCAAGGGTTTGGGGGAGCCACGTGCCCCTCGCGCTGCCTCTGCCGCAGCTGCGCACATCTGGCTCCGGCTCCGCTCAGCTGTGGGTGGCCGGGGCTGGAGCCCGACCCGGGGGTCCCGCTGACCCCACAGCTGGGTGGGACGGGGGGACTGGAGGGTGGCCAAGGGGGCTGGGGCAGTGATGGCCCCCAGGCTGAGCAGGAGGAGGGGGCAGTCCCCACACACCCACTGAGCCCTGCTCCGGGCCGCAGGACCCCGCGCCAAGGTGGGATGGCACAGGAGGTTCCTGCCATGGCTGGCAGCGGGACAAGGCCCAGCTCAGCGCTGGCAGGGAAGCCACATCCTGGCCTGAGGCCAAGAGATTGTCCCGGTCCTGCACAGCCCGAGGGCTTTAAAAGGAGAGAAAGAGGAAGGCGAGGAGTGGAGGAGACAAAGGACCTGCTGCAAGAGCCAAACGCAGGGTGGGCCAAGTGCTCAGCAGCCACCAGTGCCCAACACCCCCCATCCGCTCAGGGGAGGGGGGCAGGTCCCGCAGGCAGTGCCTCCAGATCCCCCATTGCTTTGGGGTCATTTCCCAAGGCACCCCATCCCACCCACCTCCTAAGGGGAGAGCCTGGTGCCTGGCAGTGCTGGAAGGGCTGCAGGCACCCACTGGGCAGGGACCCAGCAGTGCTGGGGGTGGCTTTGGTCCTGCAGGTCTTCCACAGCCCTGAGTGGGACCTGCAGGGTGCTGATGCCAGCTTTGGGGTACGTCCCTCTCCCAGATTGCCCATATGGAGAGGATGCCTTACCGGGAAAGCAAAGAGGAGCTGATTCTCCCTGCTGGGATCCAGCATCCAGGCAGTCCTGTCCCATCAGCTTCCAGAGTTTCAGCTGGGTGCCAGCCAGTGCAGCACCCCGGGGACCATCCATGCCCGTGTCCCCATGGGACACAGAGAACACCTGGCTGCATGTGCCCCTTCCCGAGCCCACAGTGAGCACCAGCAGCGCTGCTGCAGCCGCTCTGCTTATTATCATATTTAATTGCCCTCCTGGTAACCCCAGGAAATGAGCAGGAGATGGTGAGAGCAGCAGTTTGGGATGATGTAAACACGAGCTCCAGCTCTCCCCGTGCCTCGCCAAGCCAGTCCCGGAGAGAACGGTGATTTATGGAGCCCCCCAGCCCCGCTCCCCCCGCCTGGGCCGCGAGTTTAATCCCGGGCTGCAAATTCAACATAAATCACTTGATTAAAAGCTCTACTTAATTTAAAGTGGGGGGGTGGGCAGGGCGCAGCTGATCGATTTAATTTACACCGGGAAATAGCAACAAGCAGACGCATTTAAAAAGGCCGGGGAGGCCAGGGATGCTGCAGCTGCTTCAGCTTAACCATTTAAGGGCTTGGGAGGGGCTGGCAGCCCCTCACCCCCACCCCCTCTTTGGTGAACCTCCCCCCACACCCCTGCCTCCCCCCACACCCCTGCCTGGACCCTGCCCCCAGCAGCTTGTGGGGTGCAGGATGCTAAAACATTTGTAGGGGGAGTGTTGGAGCCCAGAAAAGCAGAACTCCTACAAAACCAGCCGCCATCCAGGCCGCTCCCTGAATGTCACCTTCCCAAACTGCTGCTTGGATCAGCTTGAGCACAGAGAGCCCTGAGAGCCCCCTCCCCACCGCCCCCCCAGGGACGGGCAAAGTCGCGGTTAAAGTCTTTAATAATTACAAGAATTCCAGATTCATTACAGAAGAGTTTACAACAAATAATATTTCTCCATACAAAGGCAAAATAAACTTTTCAAGTAACAGCGGCCTGGCTCCGGCGTCCCCACGCCGGTGATGGGGAGGGAAGGGGTAAACGTGGCCCCTGCCCTGGTGAGGGGCTGCCCTGGCTGGGGAAATACCCCGTCCTTCCAGGCACTGGGACAGATCTGGGGGGGCACAGAAGGGCAGAGCTGGGATGAGGCCACTCCCCGGGTGCTGGTAAGGCACTGGCTGGCACTGCCAGGGGAGTGGGGGCTGCATGGGGTGCACGTCCCCCCGCTGGGGCACAGCGTGACCTGCGGCCCCCTGTCCCTCCCCACAGGCAGCTGAGGGCCAGGCAGGGGCTGCAGCCCCTCCCCAGGGCACTGTCCCCACACACCAATATGGTGCCACGGGCACTGCCCGGCCCCAGCCCGGCCGGAGCCCCGGGAGGGAGCAGGGGGGACACGGGGGGAACCAGGGCGAGGCCAGGCACGTAATGACAACGGATTCCCAAAAGGCATCAACACGTTATTATTATTGTTTAATACAACCCCATATAAAACTGAAGCAGCAGCAGCAATTCTTATCGAGGGACCTAAACTGAAATAGGTTTAGAACATAATTTAAAAAAATAAAAACAGCAAAAGTAGCAAAATATATGAATTTTTTTTTTTTTTATAGCAACTGATATCTACCAGCCACTAGTACCTTCCTACCAAACTGGTATATCTCTGGTAACAACCCTTTTAAAAAGACATGTAAATATATATTCATATTTATACATATTTTTCGTTATGTACACGGGACTCTGGGTTCAGCACAGGTGGATGTGGCTGTCTCTGAGCAGTGCTGGGTGACGTGCCTGCTGACCAGCCCCGGAGCATCCCAGGCAGGGAGGGAGCCCCAGCCAGCCAGGATCCTGGCACACCGAAGCTCCTGGCACACCAGGGCTCCTGGCACACCAAGGCTCCCAGCACACCGAGGCTCCCTGGCTTCCACAGCCACAGGAACCCGGTGCTGCTCCCGGCTCAGCAAGTTCTCCGAGTCGCAGACCAGCCCTGGGCTCTCCGTGCCCTGCCAGCATGTGCCATCCTGGGATGCCTGTCTGGCTCCCCAGCCAGGCACTGCCCCCAGTGGCAGGCGATTTCAGCTCAACCAAGTGGGAATATTCAAGCACGGAATTCATGGAAAAGAGGTTTTTTTAAAAAAAAAAAAGGGAGGAAACGCCATAAAAACACCGGAACGGACCCTTTAGGCTGCGGAGAGCTGACATGAGGCGGCAGGAGAAGCTGGCAGGAGGTGGGTGGTTTTGGTTACATGAGATGCTACAGGTGTCTCTGAACCCCTTCTGCAACAGCTCAGCACAACCAGACTGTGCAGGCAGCGTCCACAGGCACGGCAGGGCAGGGTATGGCACAGAGTGGCACAGCACGGCACGGTCCCACCGGCAGTACCACCCTCAGTGTCGCTTCAGTCCACCGTTGGTGTGCTGGGGGGGGAACTTGGGAAGGCACGGCTCGTCCGGGAGGGGGTCGTGGGAAAAAACAGAGTCCTCTCCCGAGGAGCAGGTGGAGCTGCGGGTGTCCGGGAAGCCGGGGGAATACTGATCCAGCGGCATGGAGAGGTCCAGGTACTCCTGGGGGGGACAAACCCCGACCACGGGCTCAGGAGGGGACTGGGCAGCCCCCAGGGAGCCCCCAGGGAGCACCTGCCCCATATGGGGTGGGTGCTGGTGGGAGCCCGTGGGTGCCACCTCTCCTACCTGGTTGGAGGTCATGGCCACGATCCTGTCCAGGTCTTCTACCAGCTGCTTGAAGGTGGGTCTCTGGGAAGGCACAGCGTGCCAGCAATCCCTCATCATCATGTACCTGTGAGGGCGAGGGCTGAGCATGGGGCGAGGACTGGGGACCCCACCCAGGGGAGTGGCACCCAGGAACAGAACCCAGCACCCAGGCTGGGACCCACGGCCAGGGAGGATGCTATCCCAGGATTTAGGGTAATCTCCTGTGGGGAAGGAAGGGAATCCCCCCAGCCACCCTTGCAACCAAGGGGCTGTCTGGGGAGGAGGAGGAACATGGCCTGGGCTGGTCCCTGTGCTGGGGTCACCCTGGGATTCCCTCCTGCCATGGGATAATGGAGGGAGATGCTGATTATTGCAAACAGATCAGTTTGCAGATGGTTTTGCAGGGCTGGGAATTGCTGGGATTGTAGATCCAAACATCTGGCTGTCCCCCTCCATGCCCCAGCCTGTGCCCTGGGTCAGGCAGTGGCACCCAGAGACTTCCAACCCTGCCCCACCAGTCCCAGCTGGGCAGAGAGTGTTGGGGTGCCAGTGTCCTCCCTCTTGCCCATCCCAGTGCTGCACTCACAGCTCGTTGGTGCAGTTGCTGGGCTTGTCCATCCTGTGACCTTCCTTCAGCAGCTTGAAAAGCTCCTCGACGGGCACACCGGGGTAGGGAGACCCGCCCAGCGTGAAGATCTCCCACAGCAGCACCCCGAAGGACCACCTGGGAACACAGGGTGGACACTGGGGCACCAGGTCTGGTGGGGGCTACACCCCACCGGGCCCCAGTCTGGGTACACTTAGAGGCTGGTTTGCTGGGAGGGACAGGCACCCACAGTTTCAATTCGCTCTGCAGGACAGACGAGTCCCAGCACCAAATACAATCTGGATTCGAAATATTTGGTCGGCTGATGCTAATCATAATTCCATTAAACTAAAATGAACCCCATCCACGCACTTCCCCAGCGGGCACTACTCACACATCGCTCTGGTGGGTGTAGATTCGGTCAAAGAGGGCTTCGGGGGCCATCCACTTCACCGGCAGGCGACCCTGGGACACAAAACCCCCCGTTGGCTCCGTGCCACCCAAGTGTGGGGGGTCTGGGGCAGGGGGCAGCCCTGCACACCCATGGCATTCCCAGGGCCGTTTGGGGCACCCCTGGCACCCCCACCCCCAGCGGGACCCCCCTGGCCCAGCCCTCACGTTTGTCGTCTTCTTGTAGTAATCGATGTGGTGGATGTCGCGGGCCAGCCCGAAGTCCGCGATCTTCATCACGTTGTCCTCGGTCACCAGCACGTTCCTGGCCGCCAGGTCCCTGTGGATGCACTGAGCGAGCACGGGGCCGTCAGCGGGTCCCCGACACCCCCGGGTGGTTCCCCAGGATGGACAGGGCAGGGAGGGGAGTGTGCATCCCCCCAGGCCCAGCTGCCAGGCTCCCCATCCCGCCACAGCCCCCCGAGAGCTTCTCACCTTCTTGGAGGCCAGGTACTCCATGCCCCGGGCCACCTGGTAGGCGCAGGAGACCAGGTCCTTGAAGGAGAGCTGCTCCTCGGGGACACGGGTGGGGTTGTAGCAGTACTCCATGCCCGGGGGCCGCCGGGCTTGCAGGTACTCCCGCAGGTTGCCCTTGCTGGCGTACTCCACGATCACATAGAGGGGTCCTGAGGGGATGGTGGGATGAGAGGCTGGAACACGCAGTGGGGGCTCATGACCCCACAGGTGCCAGGCCAGCCCCTCTCAGCGGATGGATGTGGCTGGAGGGGTGGCAGAGGGGACACCCCCATCCCGCTTGCACACCCTCACCGTCCTGCGTGCAGGCTCCCAGCAGGTTGATGATGTTCTTGTGCTTGCCAATCATCTTCATCATCTCCATCTCAGAGATGAGGTCGGACAAGTCCTTCTCTGTGGCGTCAGCTAAAGTGGATAGAGCAATGGTCAGGGGGGACCAGACAGGGTACCTCCCAGTTGCACACCCCCAGCACCAGCCAGGGCTCCAGCACTGTGCCAGAACCCCCACTTACACTTGAGCATCTTCACCGCCACCTTGGTCACCCGGTTGGGCTTGTCCTTGTCGAGGCCAATGGCTTCTGCCAGCACCACCTGCCCGAAGCACCCTTCTCCCAGGGGCTTGCCCAGGATCAGCCTGCCAGGAGGAGACCCCAGTGTGGGGGGAGCAGGTCGGTCACCAGCATTGGCACCACCACCCTCACCCAGCTCCCAGCCGGGGCAGGGCTGCCCCTCACCTGTCCCGGGGCAGCTCCCAGCGCGGGTCCTCGGGGAGCTCGTACTCGGAGACACCGGCCAGCATGGGGGTGCCGCTGGAGGAGAGCCGGGAGGGCCGCACCAGCATCACGCCCGAGTTCATGGAGGAGCTGGAGTCGGCCGACACCTGCAGTGGGACCGTGGGTTACCTTCACGCAGCGCCCGCGGCCGCAGCCGGCTGCCCCCGCCGGGGGGGAGATGCTGATGGGAGCCTTTGTACCCGCCCCTGCCCCCAGCCCCCTGCCCGTGGGCAAGGGGTTGTCTGTCCTGCTCCCTCCTGGGACCTGGACTATGTATTTTTTAATTAATCTGCATCACATTGTACCCAAAATGCATGGCCCAGGAGCTCCCTGGGCTCCTCAGTGTGTTTAATGACCCCGCTCTGCTCAAACCTTGAACTGCTGTAAATTCTCCTGGTTCTCCTCACAAGCCCTGCTGAGGGGGGAGGTGAAGGGGATGTGTGGCCTCCCTGTTTGCTGTGTTTCCATTGGAGGCATGGCCTGGGCAGTGCCCATCCCATGCCATGGATGGGCACAGGGCTGGAGAGGGCTGCACGTGCAGCGAGGTGAGACGGTCCCAGGTCTCCCCGTCCCTCCTCCCCCAGATCCCCTGGGAAGGGCTGGGCTCCAGGAGGGGCAGTAGGTACAAACAAACCCCCTCTCTACTTTCTGTTACCTGTCTGCGCAGGGGGATGCTCTTGGCCAGCTTGTGCACGGCCAGCTGGCTGTTGAAGTCCGTCTTCTTGGTGGTGCTCTTCAGCTTGTAGATGATGATGGTCACCACCATGCAGGAGATGAGGAAGGCCCCGATGCAGTAGATGATGATCTCCAGGTAGAAGGGGGATGTCATCATGGCTGGGGTGTCTTCAATAGCTGGTTCAGCGTGAACAGGGTGTTTGTTAAGCACCCACCAGCCCCCAGGGCTCAGGAGCAGCACTGGGGGAGCCCCCGGCTCCTCTCCACGCTTGGTGGGGACCTCGGTGCAGCAGGGACTGTGGGCTGCCCACCCACCCTGGTGGGGAAGGCGTTGTGTGCACCCCCCAGCTCCTCATCCCCAAGGTCAAGCAATGCCTCCACTGCACCCACAGGGATGGGGCTAACTGGGACAGGCATGAAGTCACCCCAACAGGGATGTGGCACTACGGGCACTTCCATGGACAGGTCCCTGTCCCTGCTGCTACACTCTGCCCACACTCAGAGCTGCAGGTCCCTTGGGGTCTGGGTTTTCCCTGCACATGGTGGGATGAAGGGGAGTGTCTGGCAGTGACCTGCTGTGGGACCATGGGATGGCAGGGAGGAGGGACCTGCAGACCCTGCCTTGGTGGCTGAGGTGGTGTTGGAGCCATGAGCAGCTCAGAGCCTGCAGCCACGTGCCAGGGTTCGTGGTGAATCCGGCAGGGTGGGGGCTGCCACTGCACCCCCTGCAGCACCCCCAGCCTGACCCCCCCAAAGAGCAGAGCCTCAGAGAGAGGTGTAAGAGGGAGCTGAAGATTCCTGCCCCACCTCTGGGCACACCCGGCTGACAAAGCAGTGGCTGATAACGGGGAAAGTTTTTGGCTGGCAAGCAGTGACCAGGCAGCATCACAAAAACTTTCCCGCTGCTGTTATCAGGCTTTGGTCCGTGCATTGATGCAGAGGAGCAGCATCAATGGGGATGGGGCAGCCGTCCCCACGGCACAAGCGCACACAGCCCCGCACGGCCCCGCACCACAGGGCAAGGCCAGGCCCCCGCAGGCAGCGCTGCCAGTCCCCCAAACCCTGCTCAGTGCCCCCCTGTGCAGGCAGGGCTGGCCTGGCCCCGGGGGTGTGGGACCGTCCTGCCCCGGCGGAGCAGCCCCTGGTTAAAGTTCCCCGGGTATGCATTGTCTGGGCCAGGGAGAGAGCAGGGGGCAGACAACTGGGGTGGAGGTGGGCAGAGAGTGGGGGGGACACTGCCCTGTCCCGCTCCAGCTGCAGAGCAGACCTGCAGCATCTGTGCTGACCCACTCTGGGGGGCAGGGGCCGGGAAGTGCTCTCTCCCGGACCGCAATGCATGCGTTGGAAAGGAGGGAGGAAAGGGAGAGGAAGAGGAGTATATACCTTCGAGAACTGTCAACCATGCAGAGTGATGGGAGATCCCAATAGAATTACCCGCCAAACATGTATACTCCCCAGCATCCTCAAATGAGACATTCCTTAAGTGAAGGACTTCCATTTCTTTGTCTGTCGTGTTAACACCAGCCGTCTGGAGGGAAAAATGGAAGCAAAAAACGGAGAAGCAAACCACATGAGATCTTCTGGGAAGGAGGCCAGAGAGGAGGGAGAGCCCAGTCTCATTTGCCAGACCCCCGGGGAGCAGACAGAGACCACTGCAGACCTGCTAGAGAGACCCTCGGGATGACCACTCATCCCGGTGGACCTACGGAGATGCTGGTTAAAACCCTTCACCAAACTGAGTGTCCTGCCCATCCGAACATGCTGGGGATGGGCTGCATGGAGAAATCAGCCCAGGCAGAGCCGGCCGGCTGGCTCGGTGACACGGGGACGAGGATGGGGATGGGAGGACAGAGGCAGGAGGATGGAGATGGGAGGGCAGAGATGGAAGCATGGAGGCAGTAAGGCGGAGATGGTAGGATGGAGACAGGAGGATGGAAATGGGAGGATGGAGACCAGGAGAGCAGCACAGATGGGGGCACAGCACTGTGTGATCCCCAGCCAGGCAGACGGGGTGCCCTGGCTGGTGTCTGTCCCACCAGGCACCTGAGCAGCACCAGTGTGTGCACAATAGGGTGGGAAGCACACAGGAGAGACACTGGGACACAGGAGAGACACCAGGACACAGCAGAGACACCAGGACACACACACAGAGCACAAAGCCCAGCCGGCCCCGCTGGGTATTTTTCCATGGTTGTTGCACCAGAAACACAGCAGAAACCAGAGAGCCCAGGGTTTTGTTTTCCACCGCCGGGGAGCGACGGTCCAAGGAAACACCCCGCCGGGCGTCCTTCCGATTACCTGTGGCCAGGGGCCTGGTGACAGTGAGCCACGCAGACTGGTTGGCCTCGCCAATATAATTGGAAACCTTACAAACATACTCCCCGCTCTCCGCCTCTGTCACATTATACAGGGTCAGCACCTCCGCATCAGAGCTATTAATCCCCGAGTGCTGGAACAGACCAACAACATGGAGTCACATGGATGTGCCCAGGAATGGCAGCACCGACAGCATCAATCAGCACAGGGGCTGCTCCCCCCGGTACCCACGGCCAGCTGGGAGGGATGGGGCTGCACACAGGGAGCCACGGGAGGAACAGGGGACACAGACGGGCATGGGGGTGTGTTCCTGCTCCCCCCTGCTCCACAGGGGTCAAAGGCACAGCTGTGGATGGCTGCATGGAATCACAGAACGGTTTGGGTTGGAAGGGATCTTAAGAGGCCACCCAGTCTGACCCCCTGCCAGGGCAGGGACACCAGCCAGACCAGCAGCCAGTTTGCCTGCTGAGCTGGGGGCAGAGGGAGCTGCTCTCACTGGGATGATCCAGGGCTCAGCTCCCAGCTCCAGCGCCGTGCTCTCTCCCTGGGGCAGCCCTCCCTGCCCTTCGCCCTGTGATGCTCTGGTGCACCCCAGCAGGCTGGTGACAGCTCTGGGGCTCCAGCTGCCCCAAGGCCAGCGGTCCCCAACCCCAGGGGGTTCTTCTGGCCCATCCACGTGGCTGCCACTGCCCCGCTCCTGCCCTGGGGATGGGCGAGCCGGGGGCTGCAGCCGGGGCCGCCCGGCGTGTGGCTTTACCTTCAGGATCTGCACGTAGGGCAGGTTGTCAGGGCCGATCTTGCTGCCGTTCACCTCGATGTGCTTCAGCCACTGGATGTGTGGCTGGGGGTCACTGTAGACCTTGCAGACAAACTCCACGTTGCTGCCGAGGGCCACGGTCTTGTTGGCAGGCAGCCCTGCCTGCAGGATGGGCCGGTGCGGGGAGCGCTCTGCGGGACCAGGACATGGGGCACCTTACAGCGGGGTCTGGGGTGCCCACCTGCCCACCCACGGGTGCACCCTGCAGCCCCCCAGGCCGTGGGCACTGGTACACCTGGCACAGCCATGGCATCCCCTCCCTGAGAGTCCCTGAGAGCAGCCAGGGACAGGGACAGGTGAAACCCTGCAAGGGGACAGGGACATCGGCACCTATTGGGGGGGGTCAGAGGTCAAACAAACCTACAGAGGGCCCCGGCCGTTAACAAAGCGGCTGCCACTGTGGTGAGTCAGCATTAACAAACCCCTTTGTTCACCTCGCTGACTGTTCCCTTCAGTTTGCTCAGTGTAATCAAATTAAATCACATTTTTAATGGTTCATTTACTGGCATTTAGAGCAGCTCCACATGTGGAACTGCTCAGACCAGCCTTCCCAGCTGGGAATTATGGCTAATAAGGCGATTAAAAAAGTTTCTGTCTGGTCTACGAAATTATTTTCACCACAATTAAAAATCCCCAGAACAGGATGAGGTGAACCTTCTGCCTGGATGGCTCGTGGACCTGCTGTGCCACAGAGGTGGACACTGGGGTGGGACGGCACAGGGATGGCGGGTGAGCCCCTTCCATGTGAGCACTCCCATCCCTGCCTCTCCAGGGTGCAGCACCCGTTCCTGCTCGGGAAGGTTTGGGGGGACGGGGACACAGGTGAGCCCCCCAGCCCCACGCTCCTCACCCACGACATCCAGCTGGTAGGTGTGGTTGATGCTCCCGTACTTGTTCTCCACGATGCAGGTGTAGTTGCCCTTATCAGACGGCACCACCGAGTCCATGATGATGCTCCAGGTCGCCTGGCGGACCTGGGGGCACGGGGAGGACAGAGCCAGTTACGTGCAGGGCACACGAGCCCCTGGTCCCGCTCACATCGGAGCTGGCTCAGCCCCGGCCCCCGGCATGGGCAGGACATAAATCTCCCTTTGAGGTCACCTTTCCCCTTCCCCACAGAAGGGCTGTAATTGCTCCCAGCTGTCCTGGGACAGCCTGGCCACGGAGCCAACTGCTTCGGGAAGCAGATGTTGGGAGGGGAGCGCGATGGGTCCGCCCAGTGTGCGGGGACACCCCTCTGCAGCGCCCCGTGTGAGCAGGGAACAGACTGGCTTTGTTCCTCCGGGAAGAGCTGCTTCCCTGGCTGGCCCTGGGGCTCGGACCTGCACTGCTCCCCATGGCCAGTGGGCACCACGCTGGTCAGTGGGCGGGTGCAGTCTGTGTGTCCTCCGTGAGTGCTGCTGACCCAGTGCATCTCCTCTGGGATGGTCCCAGCAGCTCAGCCAGGCTGAGAACCTCCCAGGCCCCCTGGCCATGGGGCACCAGAGGCTCTCCAACAGCCAGCCCTGTCGCTGCCAGCTTCGGCTCTGGCTCCTCTTGGCAAAAGCTCCCTGAGCCCTGCTCCGTGGGGCTGCATTCCTCCCTCCCAGCTGGAAACTGGCAGTTTGCACAGTCCTGCATTTCAGCCCCATTAGCTATCCGGGGCATGGGCTGCCATGGGCCAGGAGCTGCCACGCTGCCAGCAGCCTCTCTCCTCCCCACCCACGAGCCTCCATCCCATGGTGAGCCTGCATCCCTCCCCAGGACACACTGCATGGAGCTGGGAGCCGTGACGTGGCCGCATTCCTGCTGCTGTCCCTGGCACCTGGCAGGAGCCCTGCCACGCAGGGCCACGGCCAGGGCTGCCTGTGCAACTCAGTGGCAATTGTGGCCACACAACTCCAGGCTGGCTCAGGGGTCTCACCCAGGGAGACACCCCCCAAGGGGTGCAAGCCTCAGGGAGGCTGCAGCCCTATTCCTGAAAATTAAGGGAGATGGAAAAAGAGGATTCTGGTGCCTTGTAGGGTCACCCACGGGTCCCTGGACTACAGCTGCTGCGAGGGTCACCCCTTCCCTTGGGGAGGAGAGAAACTCAGGGGTCCCAGCATGCTGGTCACCCCCCCCAGGGCTCCTCTGCACCCCACTGCAGGACCAGAGCCATGGGAAGGGGAGAACCAAGCCCTCCTCCCACCTGGGTGGCACCTGCAGCCTGGGCCCACTGTGGGTGCTGGGGAAGCAGCATTGAGCCCCCTCCCCAGCTCAGGGAGCCAATGTGACCCCTGAATGTGGGCTGGGGCACCCCTGGGCTGCTGGCACAGCTCCTGCAACCACTGCTGGGCACAGAGAGGCTCCTCCACCCCGGGGTCCCTGGGGACGCCCAGACCCCTCTCCTCGGCGGGGGGATTAGGCAGAGGCAGCCAAGCCAGGCTGGTTCCCTCAGCACGAGCCCCCTCCCCCATAAGCTCCCTCCCCCAGGGCTGAGCTGGTGCAAACATGACCCAGAAGCAGGTCACTGCCGTAGGGCCACTCCGAAACAGGAACGTCAGAGGGGCCCATCTGCCCCTGCTGGGGTGGTGCAGGCAGGGGCTCGGTGCCTCTTAAGCTGCAGAGACCCTTCCCAGTCCTCCCCCCCCCCCTGCCCCCCCCGCCGCCTATTTCCCCCCAGTACCTTGTACCCCCCGATGCGGTGGTCGGGTTTGAACTCTTTGCCGTTCTTCAGCCAGCGCAATGTGGGGTTGGGTGTCCCGCTCGAGGGACACTTGAATTTCACCGTTTTGGCGGCAGGGACAGCGTGGAGCTTCTTCTCCATCTTCTCGGGATAGGTCCAGTATGGAGCGATGGCCTCTGGGGAGCAGAGCGGGGACTCAGCACAGCCAAACCCACCAGCCTCCAGTCCTGGGTGTAACCCCAAGGATGCCCAGGGCAGGGCTGAGCCACGAATCCAGAGAGATGCCAGCAGTCAAGCCTGGGTCCAGTAGGGAGGGGAGCTCCAGGACATTGGGCATTATCCATGAGTCACAGCAGCCCCTTCCTTGCAGGGTGCATGCTCAGCTCACGTGGCTGCAGCAGCAGTGGCCCCAATGAAGCCGTGCTGGCCTGTCCCCTTGCTCTGCCCGGGCTGCTTCACCCACTGCACCCAGACCTGCACCCTCACCACTGCTGGCCAGGCTGGCTCAGGCAGCCCCTGCCCATCCTTGCCTGCCTGTCTCCACCCCTGGGCAATGCTCACGTGTGCCCAGCCTCCCCTCGCCCTGGCACAGGGCAAACCCCACACGTACGGTTTGGCTTGGTATTATCTGCCTCCTTCTCCTCCGACGAGGAATCATCTTCGTCATCATCGTCCTCCGCAGAGGGCAGCGCGTCTGCAAGAGAAGAGATGACCCTGCTGAACATCTGTGCAGCTTTGTGAGAGGGGCTGGTGGGGACCAGAGCACGGTGGGTGGGTGGCGGGGAGCTGTGCCCAGTGGGGTGGCCAAGGCAGGGACTTGCAGATGCCCAGCAGGGGCATGGGGAATCCCAGGGGAACGTTCTGCACACCCCCAGCACAGCCAGGGCCAGCAGTGCCACCATCCCAGTGCCCACAGCCATGGGCACGGTGAAGCAATTTGCTGATAGAAGTGATTTAGGAGCTCCTCACCCCCTGTCCACCAACCCCCCTGGGGCGGCAGCTGAGACCCCACAGGCACAGAAATGCCCCAGCCTCGGCGAACACCTCCCCAGCTCCAGCGTTCCTCCCTCTCCAGCCTCACACTCCATCAGCACCAACACAGGCTGCGGCTCCCATCCAGCGTGTGCCCCTCCTGGGGTGGCCCCGCAGCCCCCAGTCCCGTGCAGACAAACACATGACGACCTCCAGCCGCTTCTCCCTCCACTGCAGTGGCCAAGCAGCCTCAGCACCGTGCTGGAAACTCCTCCAGGCACCCCCGAGTCGCAGGTCGGCCCCAAACTCACTGCGCGTGGCCGGTGGGGCGTGCAGGCCGTGCAGAGGCAGCCTGCTCCTCGCTCCACAGCCTGGCCCCCGCGGCTGCCCCTTCCCTGCGCAGCCAGGGCTGCTACAAACCTGAGACGTTCACGGAGAAGTAGGTGGTCTCACTCCCCGAGGGGCTGTTGGTCATGCAGGCATAGAGCCCCGAGTCCTCGGGCACCGCGTCCCTGACCTCTACCTCCTCCCCGGTGATGCGCGTCCGGTTGTTCTCGGCCAGCTGGACGCCGTCGCGCACCCAGTTGATGCTCTGGACGTCATCCCGCAGCCGGCAGCGCAGCTGGAGGAGGTCACCGGGGTGGGCAGAGTAGGACTCCACTTCGATTTTTGCTTTGGGCAGAGCTGGAGGAGTCAGGGGAGAGAAGAAGAGAAAAAAAAAAAGAAGGAGAAAAGGAATAGAGACCAAAGGAAACCATGCTGCTGCTGCTGCTGCTGCTGCTGCTGCAGCCGGGTTAATGAGGCAACATGCGCTGCTGGGATGCTCCTGCCGTGGCACTGGGGACCCCAGTACCCAGGGGACAGAGCCGGCGGCTGCAGCAGAGCAGAGGGGAGGCAGAGGCGGAGGCTGCAAGCACCCCAAGCAGCACCAAGTGCTTCACCCTGCAGCAGCACCCACTTGGTGCCTGGGGAGTTCCAAAGCCCTCACCCCACTCAGCTCCTACAGAGCGTGACGGGGCAGAGCCTTCACAATGGGGGAGAAACAGGCAACTTGAGACAACTTAGGCAGTGCCGGCTGCTTGGGCAGGATCCAGCCTCTCCCAGGAGCATCCCACATCCCTGCTTGGCTCTGCCACCTTGCAGGGGTCCCAGGATCCCAACCACAAGCAGGCAGCCAGCAAAGCAGGCCAGGGTCCCCATGGCACCAGGACCCTCGCCCCAGTTAGAGAGCGGCGGGGCAGGGCTGGAAGGGCAGGGACTGGGGGCTGCGGCAGGACAGCAAGGCAGGGAGTGAGGGGGGAAAGGTCAGCCCAGGGGAGCTCTGGCCAGACAGGTGCCGGCCACGGCGTTCCCATCCACAGCATTCCTGGGCAGGGGAGCTGCAGCTGCTCCCCGAGGCGACACTTGTGTGAGCAGCACAAAGATCCTTTCTCTCCATTCCACTGCGATCTCATCTCTCCTGGCCCTGGTCTGTCCTGGCCTTGATGTGTCCTGGCCCTGGTCAGTCCTCGAGCGCTGGCCCTCGGTGTGCGAGCGGCTCTCCTGGTCCCAGGCTTGGGGCAGACGCTGGGTTTCAAACAACCTCTTCAAATTCCATGGCCCAAGGAAGGGCTCAGGCTGCTGCAGCTCTGCTGGGGCTCCCTACGATGACGTGGGTGATGCAGTGGGAGCATCACCCCAGACCGAGCCCCACGGGCTGGTGGGCACAGCTCCGGAGCCCAACTCCTCTGCTCTGTCTCCTCTCCGGTAACGTGTGTCCGGTTGTTCTCGGCCAGCTGGATGCCATCAGGACGCTGCAGGAGCAGCACAAATGGGCACACGGCACTGCTGTGGATGCTGCTCTCAGGGGCCAGAGACGGGGCCAGAAAATCCCAACAAACGTGGCAGAAACAGCCGGGAAGTGTTCAAGCTCCAGCTGATCCATGGCCTGAGGTCTGAGCCCCCCAGTACTTCTGGGTGCCCAACGAGCCAGACAAGCACAGCCTCTGCTCCCTCCTCTGCATGTGTGCCCTAAACAGCCACAGACCAGCTTGCTCTGGGCCGCTGGCTGCAGAGTGGCACAGGGTCTCTACTGGCACAAAATCCCCTGGAGCAGAGCTGAGGTGTGTGGGTGATGTGGGGCCGGGACCAGCAGCTCCTTCCCGCTCCTCCCTGCAGCCACCAGCTGCTCTGTACAGACAAAAATGAAACCTCGGCTCTCCAAACTCCAATTTGCTGCACCATGACCTGCATTTTGCTTTCTGGCCACTTCTCTTTGCCTTGGACTGATGAGAAGCTTCATGGAGAAAACATCCCTGAGCGGCTCCAGAGTTTCTCCTCTTTCTTTTGCTCAGCACTTGAAGGAAAACAGTGGGATGGGGAAGAATTCCCTTTCCTCAGCTGCTGGAATACCAAAGCCAGGGCTCCAGATTCATCCGTGAGAGGATACAAAGCGTTTTAATGTGGAAGGGGAAGACCAACAGGAGACTCTTCCCTGGTGGGGGAAGGGCCTTGCTCTGCAATGCTGTTTTTCCCTGATTTTCTCCCACAGGAGAGGCACTTCTCACAGCTCTGATTTGTGTTTCAAGTGATTAGTCACAGGCATCTCCCAAGGCTCACAAAGCAGCAGTGACATCCCGTCCTGTCCGTCTGAACACCCCGCGACCGGGTTACACCGCGTCCTCCTGCCTGTCCCAACTCCCTCCTCACACAGAGCAAGGTCAGTGGCTGATAAACAGCCACGAAAACACAAACCACCACGAATCTGGTGCTGCAGCCATATCTGCCCTTATCTTGCTCCCAGCTCTGCCCCATGCACCCCTGCACCGACAAACTTCTTCCCTATGGAACAGAAAAACCCTGCAGGGAAACCAGGGAGGTTGCTCCTGCCAGCCCCGAGCTCTGCCAGCACCCCTCAGCTGGACCTGTGGGAAGAGGTGGCTTGGAGGTGGAAAAGATCTTTGGAGGGGGAGAGATTTTGGGGTATCTCAGCCCAGGGCTCGGGGAGGCAGCGCCCCAGGCTCAGGCGGGTCCCTTCCCACGGACACGGCATCACACAGGTCCCCTGGCACCCCACGCAAGTGCCACCACTCCTTCAGGCCACTGGGCTGAGGAGCTCGGGCGGGGACTGCCAGCATGTGGTCAGATCCCCTTCCAAAGCCCCTGTTCCCTCCCCCAGCCCCACCAAGCCAGGGGCTGGTTTGCATCACCAGCACGACTGGGAGGTGATGGACGGAGAGGGGAGGCAGAGGGCACAGCAGGCCCCTGCCCTTCGGTCACCCATGGCACATCTCTGGCACATCTCTGGCACTCGGGATGAGGCGGAAAACGCGGCATGGTGGGAACGGCCTGGGAACAAATTCACAGGCTAATGAGCATGTCCAGGTTCGCTCAGCCTCCCGGCGGGAGCAGGGCTTGGACGGTGCTGCGGCCCTGGCAGGCAGACAGCACTGTGGCCACGGGACGGCACGGATGGCACGGGCAGCCTGGATGGCAGCAGGGACACTGTGGACACGGGAGCACCGGCGGCGTGAGCTGTGGTACCGGTGTGGCCTCCACTCCAGCTCCTGAGGGTGAGCCCGTTTGATCGCTGGACTCCACCGGCCCGAAGCGTCCCTGTCTCACGTTCTGCTTCTCTGTAACCTAAACCACGGCACCAGGTGCAGCCCCCGGCACAGCCCCACGGCAGAGCCCATCTCAGCTGGCTGCTCCCTCCAGGCGCCAGCCAGCCCCGCACGGGTGCTTCTCCAAAGGTTAATCAGCCAGACAAACGCTTGGCTCTCCTCCCCAGGGCTTGGGAAGGCTCTGGGTGCTGCCGGCACCGCACAAAGGTCAGTGGGTGGGAGTCCCCACCCCAGCCAGGAGCTGTGGGGGTGCTCACAGCCCCATCGAGCAAAGAGGGCAACAGCGAGGAGAGCAAACGAACAGCAGTGTCTCGGTCCCACAGGCAGAGCTCTGTCCCACCCTGCTATGGCAGGGACAGGAGGCCCCAAGGTGCCCAGCAAGGTGAGGGGCAGCTCTGGCTGGCAGTGCCTCCACGAGCCCCCCCAGCTGCCACGGCCGGGGCGGCCGCTGCAAGTTTATTACTTTATTCCACCGTTGAAATGGAACCGAGAGCGGAGCCGAGCCCGGCGAGCGTCGGCCAGATGGAGAGTGTCACCGAGTGCATATAACTGTCACCGGCTCCCCAGGGCTGGCCCCCGACGGGGACTGTGGGGATGGGGATGGGGCGGCGGGGACAGGGACGGGGACCCGCGACAGCAGCCGCGGGGAGAGGAACCACACAGATTCACCGACCCCCCCCTCCACTCTCCGTGCTGCCCGTGCACCCCCCGAGCAGCGGGAGCCACAGGCTGTGCGGCCACGGCGATGGTGACGGTGGCAATAAAGGGGCCAACAAAGCGGCGCGGGGACAATGCGGGCGGGGGGCGCGGGGCCGCGGGCGCCGGTTGCCCTGGAGACCCCAGCGGGGCTTTCCGAAGGTATTTCCTGAAGAAAAAGCACACACATGCCCGGCAGCCCCGCTAATCCCAACAGGAAGCGCTTACCGGGACTTGGGGATTGGCTTCTTTTTGATTTAAAAAGCTCCTCGCCCTGCCGTGTCTCCCCCAGCCCGGGCTGTGCTGGGGGCATGTCCCGAGAGGCAACATCCCAGCACTCCAGCTGCTCCCAGGGCCATGCATATCCCTGGATCTCCTGCTCCGGGGAAAGGCTGCAGCAGGGAGATGCCAACAGATGAGCATCAGGAGCTCAATCCACCCTTGGCTCTTCTTGGGGTGCTCAGGGCATCCCTTGGCTCCTCCTGTCCAAGACAGCCCAGAAGGCCATGGGCTTCTCTGCACCCTCCAGTCCCTGGCTGCTTCCTCCACAGGGAGAGAGGGATTTATGTCCTGCTCCAGGCCCCCCTGCTCTCCCAGCCTGCACGGCAAATGAAGCAGCACTTAATTAACAGGCGTGTTGGGAGTTCGCAAAGCTGTCAGGATAAACCCACCCCTTCTCCCCCTGGGACCCCCTGGCCATGCTCAGAGCTCTGCAGCAGCTCAGAGCCCTGGGAGCAGCAGCTTGGGGCACCAACACCCCCATCAGCTCTCCCCAGGCATAGGACGGATGAGGGTTGCAAGTGAACACCCCAATCCACACAGATTTTGGCTGGCTTTGTCTGGGCCCTGGCTCACCACCAGAGCTGAGTCTCTGTTCCTCTCCCTGCATCCCTCCTGCACAGCCCTGGGCAGTCCCACACGGGGGGCTCAACAGCCCCCAGACTCACGGGGATCCCCCCAAACCCCCAGAGTGGCTCCGCTCCCCCTGGGGCAGCTCCACAGCCCAGGCTCCGGCACAGTGCGGCTGCTTTTCCCAAAGACTCGTATTTCCTTTTTTCCTCCTCAATTAAGGGCTGGAGTGACACCATCCGAGTGGAAAGGCGGGAGGAGGGAACAATGTCGGCCCGGCAGGCTGGGAGGGGACGGCAGCAGCCCGATGCCCTAGAGAACACGGTGATGCCCGGGGAGCTGGGACAGGGTGGCTGCAGCAATAGGGGTCTGGGGGGGCTGCTGGGCCCCCCGAGCTCCGGGAACAGTCCTGGGCTGCTGCCATCAACAGCAGAAGTGCAGGAGGCTGCAGGCTTGGCAGGGAATCCTCAGGCTGCTTGTGGGGCTCCAGCAAGGAGTCAGCTGCTCCAAGGGATCCCCAGGATCCAAACTGGATCCCCTGGGGCTCCCCAGGGCACAGGGTGGGAGACACAGAGAGCTGCAAAAACAGGGAGGGGATGGGACAGCAGAGAAATGGGGAGGGGATCAGAGCTGAGGGCCAGCAGTGCTCCCGGGGAGCAGCAGGGACGAGCCAAGGACCCTCGAGGTGCTGCCTGCTGGGGTCCCCCAAGCTGCCTGGGCTGAGCACGCTGCTCAGCCTGACTTCTGGCTCCTGCAGGACCCAGAGAGAGACCCCCTGGACAAGCCAGGGACAACAAAGCCCCGGGATGCAGGGCCCCCGCCGGCCCTGCAGATGGGCAGGGGGAGGTTAAGCCTGTGGCCAGCTGGGTGGACGGCGGCCCCGGGAAATGGGGCAGCCCCCTGGCCCCCGGGGAGGGGGCTGCAGCCAAACCCCCTGTGCTTTGGAGTGCAAATGCACTCCCTGGGAAAGTATCTGCTGCACCAGGGGGTGCCTTCGGGACTCAGTGTCCCCCAAAACCAGCTGCCCAGGGCAGGGCCCCCCTGCCCCAGGACACGGCTCCCCACAAAAATCTGCTCTGCCGCTCGGCACCCCCGGCAGGGCTGAGGCAGACCCGAGTGAGGAGATGCCTGAGCAGCAGCCAGGACAATGGCAGACAAGGAGAGAGGGGAAAAAAACCCTCGGCAATTTTCTGCAGGTTTCTATTTAACCTGGAGACAAAGAGCAGCTTTGTGCGAGGGAGGGACGGAGGCTGCGCACGGAAATTTCTTGGCTTTTCCCCTTAACCAGGGGTTTTTCACCACCTCCAAATTTAGGTAACTATAAAATGCAGTAAGTGCCCATTAATATTTTATTTGCTCCAGATTTTTTGGTACTGGGAGGGAGCCCACGACAAGCAGAGCTCCCAAATCCCCTCCCATGCCACGAGGAGAGGGGAGCCAGGGCTGAAACCCCCCTCTGCACGAGGCCAGGGCCGCTGGCCGGGCGCGGGGGATTACTCCTCCCTGAGAAGGGAGCTTAGCTGCCTCAGAACTGGGAGTAAACTGAAACCCTATAAACATGCAGAACAAAGTCCGGGAAAGCTGTTGCCTCTGCCACAGAGGGGACCGAGCGCGGCCGCCGCTGCCCCCGAGGCGATGGGGGGATACTGAGGAGCCACAGGGATGTGGGGGAAGGACAGAGAGCTCGGCCCCCGGGACACAACACCCCTCAGCACGGGAGCTGAGCCCCATCCACATCCCATGGAACCCCAAAACCCGCGGGGCCGAGTCGGAGCCTGCTCCTGCGAGGTGCTTGGTGGCTCGGCCCCGGCTGCAGGTCCTGGCCCAGCACCGGATCTTCCCATCCCACATGTCCTGCTGGGAACATTTTGTTCCCACCAGCCAGCCCCGGAGCCAAGGGACGGACTCTGCCCCAGCCGGGCTCCTGCTGTGGCACTAATTGGGCCGCCCTGGTGAGAACCATGTCGGGAAACGTTTCCAGAGGTTATTGTTAGCCCTGGCATGAGGCTGGCGAGGAACCAGCTCCCTCCTCTCCAACCTCTCCTCCTCCACTGTCACTGCCTGACGCTGCTCCCAAACCCTCCAGGGGCTGCAGGGCTCCTCAGGCACCCCAAAACCCACCTCTGCTCAATCAGCCCTGGACATGAACTCCCTGACACCTTTCCCAGCGCCACAGCTGGGGTTGGGGCTGCCAGTGCTGCTCTACCAGCAGCACAGAGCCATCCTTACCCGAAACACCACCAGGAAACCTCTTCCAGGAAGAGCAATCTCCTGAGAAAAACATGTTTACCACTGTCAACCGCATTGTTTACAGACGTGGGGAGGAGGCACGACAGTGGAAAAATCTCAGCAATGGTCCATGTGAGTGAAGCTTTGCCCAAGGCTCCTCTCTGGAGCTGCAGCTCCCCAGGACCACTTGGGCTGTCTCCTGTGGTGTCACCTCACAGGGCACTCCCCGCTCCAACCAGAGGCAACAACCCTGGCCCCATGGCATCACCCAGTCATCCCTCACCGAGGCTGGTGCAGCTGCAGCACAGACCACTCACCAGTGCCAGCTCTCACCCCGAATCCTGAGAGGACCCTGGGGCACCACGAGCCGCTGTGCCCATGCTGGCTGCACCAGCAATCTGCCTCTCAGGGTTCTGGTGGGAGAAAGGAGGAAGGGGGAGCGAGTCTTAAAAAGCAAAGCAGTGCCCACAGACCAGACATTCTTGGGTAATTAGAACCAAAAGGCAGCAAGTCGAAGTCCCGCACGGCGCAGCCGGGTCTGGTTATTCTCTGCCTCACCAGGGGGAAGGCCAAGGCTCTGACACACCAGAGCAGGGCTCTCTGCCGGGGCCCACTCTCCCCAGGGCCAGGCAACCCCCTCGGCCCATCCACTGTGCCTCGAGGTGCCCCCGTGCTCTGGAGCTGTGCCAGGCACTGCTGTGCTGTGACATGGAGTGGCCCCGGGCAGGGACACAGCCCCCAGGGCTCTGTATCCTTCTCCAAACCAACAGGTCAGGGTTTGCCACAATTCTTCTCCAGCTTTAAATTGTCCCCAGGCACTGCTGGAGCCGCACACCCACTTCTGTGCCCGCACAAACTGCCCTGAGGACAAGCACCATGTCCCCACGGGCACCAGCTCCCAGGCAGCTGGGTGGCACTGCAAGTGGCACCGGGGACGTGCTGGTGCCCCCACGGCTGGACCACGTGCCAGCCTCTGCCCCTGCTGCAGGGAGACGGGCTCGTGTCTCATGAAGGACGAGGGAGCGGGGGGCTCCCGGCGCGGCCGCGGCGCATCCGTGTGTCCCTGTGTCCCTCTTACCTTGGTCGGGCAGGCTGGGGGCCGGCCGGGCAGCGGAGAGCGCGGCTGCGACCAGCACAGCCCAAAGGATGAGGCACCGCCAGGTAAACATCCCACTGCTGCAGCTACTGCTCGGCGACTGGGCTCCACAACTCCCACTCCATGGGGACCCCGGGCTGGCCCCGGGCGGGCGCGGGGAGGGTCTCCGCTGGGCCGTCAGCCCCTCCGAGCTGTGAGGGAGGAAAACAGAGTCAGGGCAGGGCGAGGGGCTCCCCCACATCCCCCCACGGCTGCACGGTGGGACGCACTCGCCATCACAGGTGACACTCCTCCAGCATCCAGCCGGACAGCGGGATGTCCCTGGATCATGGGATGTCCCTGGATCATGGGATGTCCCTGGATCATGGGATGTCCCTGGATCACGGGATGTCCCCGGACCACGGTGGCAGGTCCCCACAGACCCCTCGGCAGCCTGACGTGACCCAGCACTGACTGGCAGGGTTACGTTTCCCTGCAGAAAAGCGTTGATGTGTCGAGAGCAGAAAGCGCTGGCGAGGCAGAATCGCAGGCAGCAGAATTTCCCAGAATGGAGGGAGGAACATTAATGCCGGTTAAAGAAAAGGAGATTCCTCCTCTCCTCTTCCTGCACTTCATGAGCTGTTGCTGATCCACAGCTTTGCTGTGGGAAATCCCATATCCAGACCAAAATCTGATGTTGTCCATGTCACAGTGCACCCCAGCAAAGCAGATCCCGCTGCAAACCCCAACCTCCTCCATTCCCTATAGGATCTATAGGGCACACAGCAGCCACCCCCACGGAAAGGCCTTTCTGGAGCTGGAGGGTCAGCCAGCTGCGGCCAATCTCTTTCCACCAACAGCTGTTTTTGGAGTGACTGTTTGGGGAGAAATCCCCCTTCTTCCACGGCCAATTCTGCAACTCACTCTCATCCCTGCCAGCTCTCACGCTGGGTTCTCCAGCCCACCCATTCCCTCGGGTCCCCATGCCCTTCCCGGGGAATGCTCTGTGCATGGCAGCTTCAGAGGCAAGTGCTGGCACAGGGAGACACAGCAGAGCCTGATCCCGGTTCAGGGTGCCGCAGGGATGTGCCCTCCAGGGCCCTCATCCCTCCTTCCCTCTGACCGTCCCTCCTTCCCACCATGCCAGGATCACAGAGCTCTGCCAAGACACGTTCCAGGGGGATGCTGGAGCCAGAGCCCGACCGCCCCCGGCCAACTGTTCCCAGCCGAGTGGATGGGAACAAGCCCCTGTGCTCCACCCCCGCGCCACATCTGCACCTCGGCAGCAGCCTGGGACGAGGTCCCGACACCCGCTGACGGTCCCGCCGGGCTCTGCCGAAGCGCTCGCGGCGAGACCCTGCCCAGCCCGTTGCACAACCCGCCGCGGGGGAAGCGCAAGGACCGGGGTGTGGACAGGACAACACCATCCCCAAAGCCCTCCCCCCAGGCCCCTCCTGGGGTGCAGCAGTGCCCCCGGGCCCCGCAGCCCGTGGCAAGCATCCCAAGCTCACCCGGTTCCCCTCTCGAGGGCCGCGCGCTGTGCTGTTCCCAACCTGCCGCCTGAACGGGCGCTCCCCTTTGCCATACGGCGTCAGGCTGAAGTGCACGCTGTTAAAACCAGTGAGTAATAATCGTAGTGAGTAATCAACCGCTACTCATCCTCCCCACGCACTCAGCCCGTGGAGCTCTGGCCGCCGCCTCTCCCGCTCCAGCGTGAGAGCGAGACCCTGTGCTGCCTGTGCCCGGAGCGCCGGCTTTTCCCAACGGATGGGCTGAGCAGCCACCAGCCCCAAAGGGCTCAGATCCCCCAAACAGCCTCCACACCCCAAGGAAGCCCAGCCAGGGTGCAGGCCTGGGGGCTCTGGCTGCCTCCTCCCTGCCCAACTGCTCTGCCTGCAGCCAGCAGAGGAGTATTTGGGAGCCAAACTATTGACACAAGGAGTCAGACAGCAAAAAGGGCATCCAGCAAACACTGGTGTTATCTCCAACGCCAGTGCTCCCAGGTGCCGGGCAGTGCTTGGAAACTGTTATTGAATGTTCAGGATTTATCAGGGTTTGGAAAGGGGGAGGTGGAATTCTTTGAGGAGGGGAAAAAAAAAAAAAAAGTCCTTGGTATTTCTGGAAATTATTTTGTGTCTCTCAGTGGCTTTGTTTATCGACAGCACATGCTCCCCGGAACATGCCCTAATGCGGAGTGTCTGCGTGGGCCTCCCGAGCCGGCCCTGTGCCGAGGGGAGGGATGGAGGGAGGGAGGGATGGAGGGATGGAGGGGAGCCCAGTGCCTCCAGTTCCTGAAAAATGAGTCAGTGCTGGCTCGTGCACAGCAGAGCCCTTCTCCGATACACCTCAGAGCGGGCGCCTTCCAGCTGATTCAGGGCCTTGACAGCAGCACATTTCCATGGCGTAGGGATCGCTCGGCAGCGCAGAGCTGTCTGTGGCTAGAGGGTCACTGGGAGGGAGGGAGGGAGGGAAGGACAGAGGGAAGTGTGCCAGGACTCAGCGGGAGCACACTGACGATGGTTGGCTTCCCTGGGCAGTAAGGGAGGGGGCAGCAGCCACGGCTTTGCTGGAAGGCAGCAGGACCAGGACACATCCTGACCACGGGGAGCAATCCCAGCTTCCTGCCTGCTCTCCCCAGACAGGCTCAGCAGCACCTGAGGGAATCCCAGTGCTCAGAGATGCTGAAGGGGCAGCACAGACCCTTTCCTCCTTCCCAAGGGAGAAGGGGAGACTGGGAAGCCCCAAGACACCTGCCCTTGTGGCTCCTTGGTGCCCACTCGGGAAGGAGGTGAGGAAGTGGGGAGAGTGCTCCTACCTGTGCAAACATGGCTCTTCTCTGTGTTTATACAGCTTTTATATAAATCCCAACAGGAAACCATTTGCTCAGGAGGATGGCAGCTCGGGCAGGGTGGGTCTCCGGCTCCTGCTGGGCACCATCCCCGCTCCCCGTGGCCCCAGCACACTGCAATTTACTGCTCCGGGGTGGATTCAAACAACTAAAAATGGAAGCAGTAAGAGAGGAGCCAGGGCTAAATGCCTCTCAGAGACCTGCCTCCAAGACTGCAATTACTAGCGGCCATTACACCCACGGAGCTATTTCAGAGTGGTGACGGACACCCCTGTGCCCACCCGTGCACCCCCTGGGGGCACACGCTCCCCCGTGTGCCAGGGAAGATGCTCTCACACTGCCTTTGCACGCTGGTATGTCCACGAGGAGCCTCGTTTAACCTGTCCCCTTGCCATCCTCAGGGACCCCAAGGGCTGCACTCTCACCCCTCGTGTCTCCCACGGCCCTGAGTCACAGGGCTGAGCTGTCCCAGGGACACAGCACAGACGGGACATTCCCACTTGGACAGCAGCTGCACCCCGTGGTTCTTAGCTGAGTGGTTCTGAGCAGGGAAGCCCCTTCCCGTCCCGTGGCTCATCCCTGGAATGCCTCTGAGGTGCCAAACGCAGGAGCCAGCGCTGGAGCAGGGTGCCCAGCTGGGGCACGTGGGGCTCAGAGCCCCGTGATGCTGTGACATCCACAGAGGAGCCCCAGTCTGATCCCTGTGTGCCCACAGTGCTGGATGTGAGGGGGGGTGGCTGCTGCCATGGGCTTGGTGAGGCTGGGAGGGCTCTGGCCCCTCAGCCTCTGCCTCCCCGTTGGAGCAGAGCTGGCCTGTGGCATCCACCACATCAGAGTGTCCGGGGTGCCTCAGTGCCAGCAGCCAGTGGGTAATGCAGAGCAGGCAGGAAAAACACAGGGAGAGGCCAAATCCAGCAGGGAGAAGAGTCTGAGCTCAGCTCCCGGGTCTGCACAGCGTCAGGAGCCTGCGCTGGGGGACTGTGCCCAGCCAGGGTCACCCGTCCCTCAAGGGGGGACATGGTGACCCCCAGCAGACCACCCTGCTGGGCAGAGATGCCCTCCAGCTCCAAAACACAGAAAGGAGACTCGTTTTCCTCTGAGGCTCAACACAAGCAGCCCTCCAGGCGCCCTTGGGGAGGAAGGACATGCCAAAGGCACAGTCCGTGGGCGACAGGAGCGAAGCCTTTCCCTTGCCCAGTGCTCCGTGCCCCAGCCTGAGGCTCAGGTCAGGAACCAAGTATTTGCTGAAATAAAAAGCAAACACAACTGCAAATGGAACTGCAGGGAAAAACTATAATGCTTAAAGCAGACACACGCTTGGAAAAATAAATATCCAACTGTGCAGCATACAGAGCACATTAACCCTTCCCAGCTGGCCACCAGGACTTAGGGCTACTGGGGGCATCTCTGGCGCCGAGCTGTGGGCATCTGGTGGTGGGAGAGCCTGGCACACAGGGCAGGAAGGACAGGGAAAGGCCCAGCGTCACCCACAGATCTCCATCAAACCAGCTCAGTTCTAGAAGCATCCTCACACTCAGGTGTGAAAATTGAGGGCTCAATTTTCAGATCTACAGAGCAACCATTGGTATCCCAAAGACTCCACTGGGCTGGTCTCCCCGACTGCACTGGAAGCTGACTGGTCAAGGATGGTGACACCGGGACACGACCACAGCCTGCCACCCCCTGGAAGGGGCAGAGGCCCGTTATCCAGCCTGGGAGGGAGCTGGCTGGGGCTTTCACTACATTCTGCTCCTCCAGGGAAAGCCGCTGGGAGGGGAAGGACACAGATTTGCCTTCGTGCCCAGAAGCAGCAGGTCACAAAGGGGCAGAAAGTCAGATTGCCGGGATGGGATGAGCTTCCAGCAGCCAGGGCCTGGGGGGCCAGAGCACCGGGAGGCACCAGCTGGGGGCTGGGGTCGGAGGCAATACAGCTCCCGGTTCAGGTTACGGTTTTAGGTGGTAAATAAAGAGGGAGCTCCAGTTCACACCTGAAAGGGACCCGGGCCCCCTCCCGCACGGCCGGGGCAGCAGCTCGCGCGTGGAAAAGCCCAGACGATGCTCCCGCCGGCTGCCCTCGCCCGGTACCGCTCCTGCCTGCACCCCGCCGGAGCGGGGGCGATTTATTTTAATCCTCTCGGAGCAACACAAGGAAAAGGCAGCAGTGCATGCCAGCCAGCACAGGGATTAAGGGAGGAAGTGCTCCTGAGAGGGGAAGATGGCTGCTAGCCAGAGCAGGGGGCTGCGGGGCCCACGCTCCTGCGGCGTCCCTGGGCTGCGCGGGGGGGCTGCCCCTGCGCCCCGCTCCTCTGTGCTGGCATCCAGCTGGTCGGCACCCGGAGAGCTCCAGCCGGAGCAAACCACCGCCTCCGCCTGCGCGCAATCCCAGTTTCCCTCCGGCCGGGACCTGGCAGGGGCTCCGAGCCCGTCGGTTCCACCCCCGCCAGCCGCTGGGTTCGCCGCGCTGTTCGCGTTTAAACATCGCCGGGAAGGGACCTGCCCCGGCCAGCCGTGACCCGGGACACGGGGCAGCGACTCGGCGAATCCGGGCGGAGAAGGAGCAGCGAGGTGGCCGCGGGGCTCCTCGGTGTCACCTGAACACGACGCGCTCCGCTGCGTCCCCGCACGAGGCCAGCGGCCACCTCCGCGGCTCCTGGCCCCAGAACGCACAAACACCACAACCAAAAACCCTCTGCAAGCAAACCCTCCCGGTGCCGAGGGCCACCGCACGGGCCCAGTGGTCACCCGCCATCGCAGGTGTCGCCGCCGCCTCCCCGCATTCCCGGCGCCTTCGCCGCGGGCGGACGAGCGGCTCCCGGAGCCCGGCACGGCGCTGGGATGCGGCGGCTCCCAGAGCCCCACCAGCCTGGACACACAAAGGGAAACCCCAGCTCCGGGACGCCGTTATTCCAGCGCCTCCATCCCCGGTGACGCCTGAACGCCCCGGGATCCCAAATCCGAAACACAACTAAACCCAGCTCCTTCTCCATCTTTTTCTGGAAGCCGCGAGGCTCCCGCTCAGGAACTTTTCGTGAATACGGGACCAAGCAACGACTCGGAAACCGCCCTCTGACCCTCGCCGGGCTCCCCCGGCGCCGGGAGGGGTCTCAGGGCCGGGGCTGTGCGGGGGGGTCCAGCCTCGACTCGGCCACTGGACGGGGTCGGACCCGCAGCTTTCCCGAACTGCCGCCCGCCGAGCGGCTGCACCCCGGGGGCGGCACCCCGGGGCCCCCGACCCCCGCCCCGCTGTCCGCAAACCCCCAGGTCCCAAAAACCGGAGCCGCCCCGGCACGGGGGACAGGGCGAATCCGGGGGGGTTCGGCCGCGACGGAGCCCCGTCCCCCGATGGAGCCCCCCGCGCCCGCCCCGCGGAGCACAAAGCGACGCCCCGCGGTCCCGGTGCCGGTGCCGCCCCCCCGGCCGCCGTTACTCACCGGAGCCCCGCGGGCGGCGGCGGCGGCGCGGTGCCGCCGCTCCCGGGAACAATGGAGGGGAGCCCCGGCCGGGGCGAGAGGCGCAGCCCCGCCGCCGCCGCGCTCACAGCGG